ACAGTACGCGATCTATCTTCAATTGAAAATAAATAAGGAGGATATTAAGAAAAACGGAAGAGATCAAATTGTGAATGAAAATTGATGATAGTTACGTCTTATCTTTTTAGAAAGTCACATTTTAAAATTAAAGATTAAACATAAATACAAATTATCAATGGAGCATCGTATTAATTAATTAAATTTAGTTAAAGTAAGGTATATTATTTTTTTATATAGTACTGAATTCTAATTTTAAACAAACAGTTAGTTCAAAACTCCAGATTTATTCATATCTGCTCATTATTTTAAAACATCTGTATATGGAATGAATAAGGCATCAGGGACTCTTAATTTAAAATTGCTATTGAACTGCTCCTAATGTATAGTTCTTTTAGAATCCTATTATAATATTTTATAATTCATTTATTTATTATATTTTTGAGCGATTGTAAATTTCAATAAATAGTTAAGACAGTTAAAGAACAAGCACCAAAAAATTGTTTTATATATTTATAATATACTAAGGGGTAACCAAATCAAATGGTTTGGCTATATGGCGCGTATGCCCAGAGAATTGAATATTCCGGCTGGAGGATCGACCTGGTGGAAGACATGGCAGAGGAAGATCTCGCCTGAGATGGCTGCAAGAGGTGGAGGACATCCTGTAAAGGATGAGAATCCGGAGATGGAGAAAGCTAGAGATGGAGATAAAGGAGAGTGAAGGAAGATCACACGAGAGAGCCAGGCTCTTACAGGACCGTAGTGCAAACAATAAATAAATAATTAAAATAAATAAATATACTAGCGGATACACGAGGAAAGGACTTTCGGGCTAGAGATATAGTTACATATTATTATACTATATTATAGATTATATTTACATATTATTATTATTGTAGGCAGTGTATTGTATTATTTTTTATTATTAGTTTTATCACTCTAATACTATTTTTAATGCCTTTGATATTCATTTAATTTCTTTTAACGGCATTATCATAATAATTAATTTATTATATTTGAAGGAATAAAATATTTATAGCGATATCAGAATCCAATACTATTACTAGTATGATAAAACTATTTGTTATATGTTTGTTTTATTTATATAAACCTCTTTGAAGGGGATATTCATAATTTGAAAATATCTGCGAGCAAAATCCCGAGGTATGTGACTTGTGAAACCTACCCTCCCCTGGCGAAACCGGTTTTCATGAATTAGAATTTCAGTTCCTCTTTTTTTCAGGTGCGTGTGTTGTTTTATATGTTGTTTAGTCGGGTCCAGTATAAATTACAGCTCCCTAGGACCTGAGTTATAATAAATATTTTTTAAACCACATCTTTTAATTATTATCGAATTCTGCTCTAATTGATTATCTGTGGGTTTCTATTCCCGTTCTTCTATACTGATGTTTTATTCGTTTGCAGGCATTATATGATGTTAAAGTAACAAGAGATAAATCTATCCCATGTCCAAAACGTTCAAGTGTTTGAGAAAAGGGATTTTCATGTGTTCTCTAAATGTTCATTAACCTAGACTATTCTACTTTGAAAAGAAATTCAAAACAAATACTCTATAAAATAAAACATTGAATATTTGAAAATAGTGTTCTATTCTGTTACAATCAAGGATATGTTGATGATAGAAAAGCATAAGTATTTGAATCAAAATGTAGAAGAACCCTCAAAGGTCTTCCGAACTCAAATATAACCAAACTTAAATACTATAGACATAATTGTTTTTGAATTTTTCAAATTATAAGGATAAAACTTCCCTTCCCGAAATATCAGTTCTTAACTGTCCTTCAAGTGAACTAAACCATTTGTTGCTCTTCCAGTTTTCAATAATGTTTGGTATTTTAAAGAAAATAGAACAATTCTTATTTAGTATATTACGAAGAATCAAAAGCGCGCAAAAAATAAAAACATTCAGAAATGTGTTTCTTCATACAAAAAAACGGTTACCGGTCATTTCTAATAAGTTATGAAAAAGCCAATTTTTTTCGTAAGTCAGGTTATGAAATAGCTTCAATTATGTGTTTTTTTTTAATAGTTAAACTTGAACATATTAAAATAAATCATCAGTATTACTTTAAATTTAAACTGTATAAAAAATAAAGAGACATATTTTCACCTCTGATATGAATACCATCAATAACTTTCCTTCGATTTTACGATCTTAACTTGATTTGCCGTTGTTAATTGTTTCGCTTGAGATATTTTCTCAAGTGGACAGTCATTGAATAATACTGTGAGTAAACACGATGAGGAGAGCATTACAAATATTCCATCAGCATTACCTTTATTACAGTGAAATACGAATGGAATATTTCTTTGGTAAACAAAACATTTTATTTTTTTATTTTAATGGTTGGCGTACATACTTACAGACATATAATGCTTGCGGGGGCACAGGTTATCCGTAGTACAGATAGTTCAAATTCGGGAGCAGAGATAACCTAAAGGGAGTAATTCAAAATTTCTACGGACCATTTAGCTTGATGGTGCAGCATCAAACCGTACACTCGGGTACAAGGGAAAATCTTCGGATATGAAATATTTGTATTACATGTTTAAAAAAAAAAAAAAAAAAAAAAAAAATGCGCTGATGCTAACGAGACTGGAGTTGATGAATCAAGGTTTTCTCCTATTCTCTTCTAAGAATGATGAGAGTTTTTTTTTTTTTATTTCTGATTGGCCGAATAAAAATTTTATTTGGATTATCCATCAATTCCATCTAATGTTACATGAAAAGTTTATGATGCAATAAAAATTTAGGTGTGGTATTTTAGTCCATTACATGCGTTAATTATAAATATCAAATGAGGTAATTCTAATTCTGAGTAAAACCAAACATTGGAGGATAGAAAAAGTTTTTTTTTGTCATAGTCATTAATTACATACTGGCCATCAGAATTTTCTTTGTTTTATTTCGATTCTACAACATTGTAGGTCGTAGAATGATATCTTTATTGGATAGAGAAAAGGTTTGTAGCGTTTCGTAATGTGAAGACTTCAATTTTTTTTTTTCTATTCTTAACTATAATTCTAAATTTTGACAACAGCATTCAACGAACTACGGTTATTATTTTTGAATAAAGGGATCATCGAAGAATCGACATTCATTGAGACTGGTTTTGAAGACAAAATCATATGATATGATTCAAGGCAAAATAATTTGAGAAACAAGGAAGAATATAAGGTGTCATTATTCTCTTATGAATTGCGTGTTTCGGCGAAGAACGTAAAGTGAATAGTACTTGAGACAAAGTGGGAACAGCATTGCAACAAAGAAAGCGTTATTAGGCATATAAAAAAATATATTTTGTATGAAATATGTTCAACGCACGAACATAGCGTGTGGGCGTGATCCTCCTCATTCTGCCAATTCAGCGCCAGTAGTCGCTCACAAGGGTATAAAAACATGAACCATTTATAGGCTCCAACCAGCCTAACTGTTTACTACCATTTTCTTCCAAACTCTTTCACAATCATCCCAAACCAATTCTAAGTAAATGCGAAATCTGACTATGGCGTCCAGAATAAATGTCCTCAGATTAATCAGAAACTGGCAAGAACACTCAGACTGACGGACTTCCATTGAGGCCAACTATATGGCACAAGCACTAACGATTCCAAATCCCTAAAAAAAAATAAAATATAGAGGGAAATAATATTTTTTCATTATATCATATTTGTTTTTATGAGTAAATAATCAACGACAATATGTCTACTCTTTCTAAATTGTAGCGCATGTATCTAAATATTATTTCAGCTATCTTATATACGTTTTTTTTTTTTTTAAAGTGTCGTGACTTCCATCCTCACCCAACAAAAAAAAAAAAAAAGATGTAGAGATGGTTGAACGTGATATAATATGAGAAGAAGTTGGTCGGGAGGTGCGGTCAAATAAATACTAAATTTTAAAAAAATAGTATTTTTAATTATTACACCAACGTTTCGATACACCTTGCAGGTCTTCATCAGGGCGTGGCATGTGGCACTGCAGGAGGCAGTTGATATGTTGATACGGGTCCAAACATCGGCGTAATAATTAAAAATATTTTTTTTTTAAAATTTAGTATTTATGGACAGCACCCCCCTTCCCCACTCCTTCCCAAAAAAAAGATATCCTGTGCTGATTACCTATACGATTTTTTTTTCTATTTATTTATTTATTAAATATTACAACAATCTGTCACTTGTACATCAGTTATAGTGAGGTGGGATAACATTCAAACTATATGTACAAAAAAAATATAAAATAAATAGAAACAAAATAACAATAAATAATACAATAAATAGAATAAAATAACTAAATTAAATAATAAGAAAATTAAAACAAAACAAAAACCATATACATACCTATATACACTTAAGATAAGGAAAACAATTTATTACAAAACTTAATAATTGATAAATAATTTATGAAAATAGATGCTGAAATTCATAGCAAGAAGGAGGGGTGCCCATCTCCCCCAACGTCGATGTTGCAAGAATCTATTCCCCTCCTCTCAAGATATTTTATTGCTCACTTTTCTTAAAAACAGAGCAAGCGAAGGTAGAATTAGACAAATCGTAAATTATATTCAATTACACTTGCTGCGGTCTGTTTTATGATTTCTTCTTGTCTCTTAGTATGAAACTTTTCATTCTGAATATTTATAACCCCGCTGAAATGTGCCGCCCTAAAATATTCTAAAACCTGCCAAAATATGCCCCTCTCAAAAATACTGACGGCGCAGGATACGCCATCAAACCTCCTTCTGGGCATGCCTGGCAATCAGTAAAAATTAATTAGTTGGACTCTCAGAAAACAAGAAAGTTTTGAAAGCTACTTCCACAAGTTTAAAAAAAAAGAAATCTTATAATCAATCAATTAGATGAAGTTACTGAATTGCTGTTGGTTTGATTTCTCGACATTATATCTTCTCAAACCATTTTAGAACTGTTATTACAAGTATCCTTTTCAATTCTCCTTTCGTTTCGAACTGAAGCAATCTTGGTGAGCAGTCAGTAATTTAAAGTTTCCCCGAACTTTTCAGGACTGTCTTCTCTCTGAGAGAATCTTCGTTTGCCCCGTCTTCGCTACCTCTCAGACTCGTCTTCCAGTTCTATGAGAATGTAAAAAAATACACTGACGCTTTTAATGAAATAATTACTTTCTGTACTAAAGGGAGAGAGATCCAGATATAAAATAAAACAAAAACAGGAAGGAAGACCTTGAAGCGGTGTTGCCCCTGGGCTCAAAGCAGAACAGAATTTCTCTTTTCACTTCCTTTCGTATCGCAAAAAAAAACTCTAGGAAGAGAACATCAATACCAGTGACACTCATCAAATGGATCGGTCTGGTGACATGCATTAATATTTTTCTTTGTGTGAATAATGAGATTAGCCATCATACTAATTCTCAAGAGCCCTAGATTTAGATCTGTCCTCATGAAATAGTTCCCGATATACAGCATACACTATGTTAGTGCCTCTGAACTGTGACCTAGGAAGTTTTCCAAAAAAAAAATAAAAATAATAAATATGCTTCTACAAAGATAGATCATGAAAAAAATAAAATTAAAAACTTTCATTTGTGATTTGGCCCATTTATAGGTTTTTCAGTGATATTCCTGATTTTTCAACCAATCTCGTAATGTTTTCAACCAATTTCAAAATCTTTTTTTTTTTTTCATTCCGATTTCATAAAATATCTCAGAAACTAAAAATCGTATCTGTTTACTGTAAGTGAGGGAAATGTACAGAAATTTGTCTTCTTTGCTATTACTCAATATTGTGTGTATAAAGTGACACCATATTAGCGAGACAAATACAGAAAAAGGTAACGAGGTTAGTTGAAAAATATGGATTAAAATATCTCATAAACTAGAAATCAGACATGCATACTGTAAGCGAGGTAAATGTTCAACATCTCATTCTCTCTGTAATGGAAAATTATTCAAAATTGTATCTTTAACGCGTCGCCGTGTTAGAGAGGCGAAATGGAAAAAATAGTGTAGAAAACCGATTGATAACCAATTTTTTTGAAGATATGGTTTAAAATATTACTGAAACTAAAAATCGGACCTGCATACTGTAAGCGGGGGAAATTTTAAGCAATTCATCCTCTTTGAATAAGCTATTATTCAAAATATTATCTTAACGCGACATCGTGTTAGGGAGGCGGGAAGGGAAACAGATAGAGCCTTAAAGTTGAAAAGAGCCAAAACATGAATTCGGTTGAAACAGTTATGAAATTGGTTGAAACAATTATGAATTTCACCGAAAAAAAAAAACTATATTGCCGAGTGACAAAAATGTGAGTGAAATTTCGAAATAACCCATACATTGGAATATTGGATGTTTTAATTTAAGTAATTTTTATTTAGCACATGTTTTGCTGATTCGCTGTCCAAACATTAGTAACCTTACCATGGTATTCCATAAAATATGTAACTGGATTGGTGATAAAACCGCAGATATGGTGGACTCCCTATTCATTTATATCCTGATCATCGGCGTCATTTGGTTTATACTGCAAGAGCCCGCTTGGTTGAAATACCTATTGCAGAAATGATTTTTGCATGAAGCAGAGCAAGTTGGACGGACTTGGTGACAACATTGAAGAAATTTACCTCGTGGCGCTCCATAAGGTATTTCATATCCGAGATGACACCTCCAGATTGCAAAGATATAATAAATGAGCACTCCGTGCTGTTAATTTATTTGTTTTAACTGATAAATGTCTACCGATATAATTTTTAAGTAAACAAAATTACACAAAACAAGGAAAAAACCTTATCTTATAATTTGAAACAGAAAAATAAGGGCCGGTGAATCAATGGATTAATTCAGACTGTATTTGATGAAATATGTTACATGAATGTAATGTAATTTAAGGTTTAACATTGATTGTATTAAATGTGTTAAATCTACGCGTTTGTAGATATCTATTAATGGTTATTCCCTAGTTATCTGTTACTATTATTATTCTACCTACTTTGATTTACCTTAAGTTTATTCTACCTACATATTTTAGACTATACCTTTTACCTACATATTATTTTTTTTATTATTTAACGTTTATAGTTTCACATACCTATTGTTGTTAGGAACTGGTTTTCTCTTAGCCCTGACGAAGGTCTGAACTTTGGGCCGAAACGTAGGCAAAAAAATATATATACTTATTTATTTTTACTATTTTTTTTATAACTGATCACCTCAACCATTCTTTTCTTATATAAATGTTGAAACTGCGATAATGATTTTTTTGAGTGTACGTCAAACAATGTTTTTGGTATGATCGTTCAAATCATTCAGTAACATCCCCTGATTGTGATCTTATCGTACACTATGATGAATATGCTCAAATATTAATACGTATTGTATCAAATGCGTTTAGCCTGTATATTTGGACGTATGTTACGGTATTTTTAGCAAACGGCTCATTTGATTCTTAAGGAATAATTTGAAACAATATGAAACTTCGTAAATAGCTTCATATCATCGCGACCTAGAAATATTGTATTTATGAAACTTCTCGGAATTGGAGCGTTTTCAATCTGGAGGTTGGCAAACTTAATTTATATAATTAGTTACTAAAACTCGTAAATACCCTTTTGCTTTTCTCTTGGATCGTAAGATAATTTAATCACAAAATCGACAAAAAATGTGGCATATAAAAATATTGGCCCGTTTGGACTATATAACCTCGTTAATTTGATATATTGGGGATGTAGGCCACGCCAACGGGCCAATGTTTTTTTAGGTCCCCTTTTTCCTTGATTTCGTTATTAAATTATCTTTAGATTCAACTAGAAAGCAAATGTGTATTTACGAGTTTCAGTACCTAATTAAATAGACAAAGTTTGCCGACCTCCAGATTGAAAACGACTCGATTCCGAGAATTTTCGTAAATAAAATATTTGTAGGTCACGATGAGATGAAGCTAATTAACGAAGTAATAGCTAAGTATCAGGCAGATGTTAATAATTCGATAAAAAGAGGTTTACCAAGGACTTACACGATAGAAGTGAAAACTTGCAAAATATAAAAAACGCGAGATTAATAATATGCAAAATAAATTATAAATAATAGCTCATTATAAAGAAGATGAAATGCTGAACATTTCACTCGCTTACAGTATGCAGGCCCTTTTTTAAGTTTATTTGATATTTTAATCTATATCTGACATAAAACTCGTTAGCATTTGGTTTTCGACACTATTTCTCCATTTTCACCTCTCTAACACGGCATAAAATTTTGAATAATATTCCATTGGAGAGAGGATGAAATGCTGAACTATTCCGTTGCTTATAATATGGAGGTTCTATTTATTTTTTCTGAAATATTTTAATCCATATACAAAAACATTTCAGTTAGTCGACTCAAACCGAATTTATTCGAGCGTTACACATCGGAGATCTGAAGGCTTAATCTAATTTATTCTACACACAAAAAAGTGCAAAATGCGCAGAGAGAAGTTTTCACTTAAAAAAATGTTGTTTACCCTGATTTATTGAAATAATGATTTCCATTAACGAATTTGTGTAGACAATAAGCTCCCTTTATTATGAATACATAAGAAGCATTCAAATGTTAACAACCTCGTATTTCCGGATCCTTAAGGAACTTCAGATACTATTAATGAACTTTTCAATCAATCATTTTCAGTCATTCTATTAACTGAAAGTGAAAAATGTATTAGGATGACACAACTCTACTACAGCAGAAAGCAATGAAAAGAAAGATGGATAGATAAAATATTGATCTTGTTTCAGATGAGTTATCGATTAATTTGGGGGGATGTAATTGTTTAACAGCCACTAAGTTAGAACATTTTTGAAACATCATTTAGTCGTTCTGAGGAAATATTTTATTTTTAATTGCATCATGATTAAATTTAAAATATGCAGCATAGTATAATAATCGTGTTTTAATATTCAGTAAAAACTTATTTTTGTTTATGAATTAATTTTTTTTAAATTAAGATAAATGATAATTACATAGGAAGGATACTATCATACAAATATCAAAGTTAGACTCGTAAATAAATAAACCTCAGCCTATGAAAAGATATTTTATATAAAATTATTTTGGTGTTATGGTTATTTATTCTTATTAGTATATATTGTAAAACTTCTAAAATTATAGTATTTCTCAATATTTAAAAAATAAAATAAAAATAACTATAACAATAAAAAGAAGAAAAAATAACTTTCTGATAATTATATAATTATTAGGCGTGTTTGTTCATTTATTAAAGTTTTAAATTAAAAAAAAAAATTATTAAATTAGTCAGTACAGCGGTTAAGAACGCCCATGAAGTTGAAATTTCATCAAAACTTTAGTAAAAAGTAATAAAATTAATATACCAGCGTTTTAAACTATTAAGGTCCAGGTTTGAGGAAAATAAATATTTTATTAGAAGTAGTTGATATTTCAGTCAGAATGATAATTTTGACATTTGATTCAAAGCTATTTTTAACAAAAACACCTTCGAACAACTTTAAGGTTGTATGATTCATATGGGAGAATAATACATTTTTACAAACAATTGAAACATTTTATTAAAAAAAGGTTTTTCAGGACGACACATTGAATATAATTTTAACTTCAAATCTTGACTATTATTCATAGACATGCTACTCTCCCACAGATAAAACGTTTTTCCGTAAACTTTTTGTATGCGGTACACACATTTATTTTTTTTTTTCCATCAAGCATTTGTTTAAATCAGTACAGATCCAAAACCAAAACTTTATTAAAAAATCATAAAATTAATATATAATCCATAAATAAAAATAATATCAGAGATTTCGGTTATAGGAAAGCAGAGATGGGCAAATGCTAAGTATTTAAAAGTATTTTACACAATTTTTTTTTCTTTCTTTTTTCTTTTTCTCGCCTCTACCCTAAAGGGTCATTGGCGTTTTCTATATAATTTAAACTCTGTTATAGTATTTGATAATCTTTAAAAATTTAAACAGGATAGAGACTCTCTCTTCATTGTCTTTTAGTATTTCGTTTAGTGTTTTTCCTAGTTTTATTTTTTCTCTGAGCCTTTAGAATTGGGAACATTCTACTAGAAGGTGTTTCACAGTTTGCAGTGTATTGTTACATTTTTCGCAAGTAGGAGCTTCTAGGCCTCTTAAAAGATAGCTATGAGTGAACTGGCAGTGCCCAATCCTTAGGCGGCACAGTATAATTTCTTCACTTTTGGGAATTTAATCACTACTTCAGTTAATCGTAAGTAGTAATTAAAATCTTTGGTAATCAAAAAAAAGTTCATGTATTTGAATAGCCTTGCCTATCTTGTAGGAAAGTATATATTTTATTAACAGCATTATAATTATTTGACTGGCTCAGAAATGGTCATTTGATATTCAGAATTATTTTTAATGAAAGGGAACGAAAATAATAAGTTGTGAACAGGAAAGAATCCCTTAATGAAATGCACTGCTATCTTTTGTTATTAACTAAATTATCTATCATTATTTTAACTAAATTTCAACTAGAATTGATTAAAGCTAATTTTAAGGTAATAAATATATTTTCCTAATAATATAATATGTGCCAATGTATTAAATGGCATGATAAACAGGAATTAAAATTTTAAAATGTTGTTTTTATAGTTAAATAACTATTGGTCAAATATTGTTGAAGAAAATTCATTAACAAAAATGAAAATTATAATATAATAATTTATATATTTTTTTATAATAATATAAAAAAAAGCGATAACGTCGAGGAAATTAATTACTTGAAAAAAGTTATTTAACAAGAATTAGTCACTGGTTATTGATTTCGTGTTCGAGTATAATTGATTTTCTGTCTTATCTAATTCTGAGGTATTGCTTATCGTGTTTTAATTAATTATTTAACATGACGATCTTATATTTTTTTCGCCAATACTGACAATGAAATTTGTTGAGAAAAATATCATTAATTTTAGTTGGGAAGTTGGGAATTGTAGTCAGAGGGAAAACACAATAAAATAAAAATAAAATATTTTTTTCGGCCTGGGTTGCAGGCCTTCATCAGGTCTTCTACCTCCATTGGGTACCACTCGCTCCATTGTGGATGGTTACTCAATTACAACACCCATTAGGTTTAGGAGTCCTAAACTCAATTCAAATATTCAAATAGGCACTCTGTTGAAGGTCTGCAACAAACGAAGCATTGGCCAAAAATAAAAAATAAAATACTTTATTTTTATTTGTGTTTTCTCTCTGATTGCAACCCACAACCATATTGTCTACAGTCAACAATTTCCTCACCATTATTTTACTAGATGATTTAAAATATTTGTTAACAAGATATATTTGAAGTCAACTGCCATTCAATGATTTTCACACATTGTTATGAAATGATGCAACCTAACATCTGATAAGAAGATAATGCAAGAAGTTCATTGACTCATTGTTTGACATCTTTCTTGAATCAATAAATTCAATCAATTCATGTATGTAACTTATAAATTGAAGATTTTGTAAGGAATAAATAAAGAAAACCTCCTCAAACATTACGAACGGACAATGATAAGGTGTATTGGTATTTTAGTTGTTATACTATAATTTAAGGTAATTATGGTTTTCACCTTTAAGGCATATAGTGGCCTTGGTTTGAAAAGGTTCTAACTAATAAAATTGAGTGTTCAGAAATCACTCACAACATAGTTATATGTTCCAAACGGATTTTAGTGCCATAAGTTGAAAAATAAAGAAACTAGCAATGTGATAAAATGCTAAGTACGGACAACTTATGAAAGTAATTGGTTTGACAAGGTTCTAACAGTTATACGCTACATGGTACTTCATTTGTGATTATTTTAATCAAAGTTAAACATGAAATTATGTCATTTAGATAATAAGTTAAGATTGATCAATTTGTACAACATATTTGAATCGATTATTTCAGAGACGGCATATGTTAT